GAGGCAAAAACAAAGAAGATAAAAACAGACCAGTGTCACTGACATGTATAGCAGCAAAATCATGGAAAGATTTTCAGGAGAAGAATGGTGGAAATCTAGAAAGGAATGAATTTTACACCAGCACCAACTGGTTCAGAGAAAGGGAAAACCTGTGTCACAAATACGGAGTTCTAACATGGGGACAGAGTAAGACAAGGAAAAGGGGGTGGGGGGATTGCATTTTCTTGACTGCAAAAGGGGTTTTACACAGTACCACACAAGAAATTATGCAAAAAACTGGGACAAGAAGGGGTAACAGGGAAGGGACTGCAATGGATCAGGGGAAAACTTGTCAGGAAAACAGCACGAGAATGGGACTGGCGAGGTGTCGAGGGGCACCTGGACCAGCGGGGTCCCCCCAGGGTCAGTCCTAGGACCAGGCTGTTTCTGTATTTGTGAACGACAGAGGAAGGAAAAAACCCGAGTGTCCCCCGTTTTTGATGACGGAAGTTTTGAGAAGAGTTCATTCGATCGAAAACCGGCGAAAAAAAAGGGATTGACGGGTGCAGACCCGGGCCACAACTGGGTCCCGAGTTCAATCCCACCAATAAAAGTCAAGGATTAGGGAAGGGGAAAGAAACCGCAGACGGAGTTTCAGCTAGGGGGCCCGGACACAAACATCACTCAAGGAAAAAATCTTGGGGTGAGTATAACACCAGGCACTTCCTGAAAGGGACATCAACCAAATAACTGCCGCAGCAAGGCCCTGGCAAACCCCAGAACAGCATTTCCCACATCTTTAAAAAGGGAAAGTTTCGGACCCGTACACCGTGTACTTGGCCCAATTAGAGTATGCGGCACCCGTTTGAACCCCCCACCTAGCCAAGATTAAAAAAAATAGAGAAAAATGCAAAGGGTTTTCAAAAAGACTATCCCCGAGTTAAGGGTATGTCCTATGAGAAGAGTTAAGGGAAATCAACCGCACACTGGAGGACAGGAGGATAGGGGGGGGTATGATAACGATTACAAAATACTGAGAGAAGGGGCAAGGAGACAAAGACAGGATTTCCAGAACTGGACACGGGGACACATTTGGGGAAACTAAAACAGATGAACAAAGGGGTTTAGGAAATATTTTTTCAGCCACAAGTAGTCAGGAAAATGGAATAGTTTGGGAAGCGAGTAGGGAGGCAGGATCCCAAAATAGCTTAAGAAGGTACGATAAAGCTCATGGTTTTAGGGAGGTGACCCAGACGACCAGTGAAAAGGGGGGGGGCCAGGGGCTGGGCTCGACCCCTGCAAACCCAATAGGTGATAAAACTAGGGAGTACATATTCTCAGGGTTTTCCAGGCGCTATACCAGCAGCATACTTGGCTGTTGTGGGGGCCCACCAGTTGTGCTCGGTAGATGCTCAGATCCTTTTCCCCTTGAATTAGTTTTGCAGCCTCTGACACACACACTCCATGTATGCACGCACACGCACTCATATACAACAGGCCTAGTGTCGAATCGACATGTGCCTAGGACAAAATGGTAACTATGTGTGTGTGTGTGTTTACCTGGAGTTTACCTGGAGAGAGCTCGGGGGGTCAACGCCCCAACGGCCCGGTCTGTGACCAGGCCTCATGGTGGATCAGAGCCTGATCAACCAGGTTGTTACTGCTGACTGCACGCAATCCAACGTACGAGCCACAGCCCGCCTGGTCAGGTACCGACTTCAGGTGCTTGTCCAGTGCCAGCTTGAAGAAAGCCAGGGGTCTATTGGTAATCCCCCTTATGTATGCTGGGAGGCAGTTAAACAGTCTCGGGCCCCTGACACTGTATATTTTCTAGGTCAGCAATTTCACCTGCCTTGAAAGGTGCTGTTAGTGTGCAGCAATATTCCAGCCTAGATAGAACAAGCGACCTGAAGAGTGTCATCATGGGCTTGGCATCCCTAGTTTTGAAGGTTCTCATTAACCATCCTGTCATTTTTCTAGCAGATGCGATTGATGCAATGTTATGGTCCTTGAAGGTGAGATCCTCCGACATGATCACTCCCAGGTCTTTGACGTTGGTTTTTCGCTCTATTTTGTGGCCGGAATTTGTTTTGTACTCTGATGAAGTTTTAATTTCCTCATGTTTACCATATCGTAGTACTTGAAATTTCTCATCGTTGAACTTGTGTGTATGTTTGTTCAACAGTTTCTGTCTTAGGTACCACCCGCTCTTTTGTACATTTCACAGAGTTGGCAGCCCTGATGTAAACATTGTTAGTGTACCAGTAAGGATTAGTGTGTGCTACTGTTAGTACCTGCCGCCACTTTCTCCTGGAGTTTACCTGGAGAGAGTTCCGGGGGTCAACGCCCCCGCGGCTCGGTCTGCGACCAGGCCTCATGATGGAACAGGGCGTGATCAACCAGGGTGTTACTGCTGGCTACACACAATCCAACGTACGAGCCACAGCCGGGCTGGTCAGGTACCGACTTTAGGTGCCTGTCCAGTGCCTGCATGAAGACAGCCAGGGGTCTATTGGTAATCCCCCTTATGTATGCTGGGAGGCAACTGAACAGTCTTGGGCCACTGACACTTATTGTGTTGTCTCTTAACGTGCTAGTGACACCCCTGCTTTTCATTGGGGGGATGTTGCATCGTCTGCCGAGTCTTTTGCTTTCGTTGTGAGTGATTTTCGTGTGCAAGTTTCGTACTAGTCCCTCTAGGATTTTCCAGGTGTATATAATCGTGTATCTCTCCTGCCTGTGGTCCAGGGAATACAGGTTTAGGAACCTCAAGCGCTCCCAGTAATTGAGGTGTTTTATCTCCGTTATGCACGCCGTGAAGGTTCTCTGTACATTTTCTAGGTCAGCAATTTCACCTGCCTTGAAAGGTGCTGTTAGTGTGCAGCAATATTCCAGCCTAGATAGACTTTTAATAATGCATTTATATTACTGTTTTTTAATAAATTAATATTCATGATCACCTACCATCTTTACTTTACCAGAACTGCGTCATAAACAGTTATTTTTATTCCTTCTGAGATCTATGAGAATATGGTTAATAAACATTTCATGATACCGGACGAAATGGAGCAAACATTAAAAAAAAATATTTTTATTTTGTCAAATAAATATGAAGCTGAAACAATGACCAGAGCAAATATTTGCAACACGCATTCATTTGTCCAGTTTTAATCAATTGATTGGTTAAAGGTGTTGTCGTCCATTCACAGTTTTTTTTTTATTTACAGATCCTTGAATGCCAATTCCAGAACCAAATATTTATTTTAAAAAATCACAAAATATGTGCGAGTAAACAAATCCAGGTTGTTCCTTGTGGGTAGAGTAACCTATATGCCTCTATGCCTCAACATAGAGGCATAGAGGTTACTCTACCCACAATCAATACATTGTATGACCCTGAACATCTGTATCTTCCAATAGTACACTATCGTCCTGTGACTAACTCGTTCGCTTGTATAATCTGGGAAGACTTCTTGAAGGATCGCCCTTACTTCCATCGCCTCAGTGATGCCAGCGCCACCAACGTTGTCAAGCTCCTCTGTAAGTATTGCCCCTACTTCAGCC